GCCTTATGGGGGGACAGGGCTGCTGAGCCTAAAGATGGATCTGTTGGTCCTGGCACCAGGGGGAGGGACAACTGATTTAGTATGAATAGCTGCTAAAAATGTACCTGCATTTATTAAATGTCAGCTAAAAGAGGAGTGAAATGAAAAACCTCAGCATTTCTGTGAAATACAATTATTATTTACAATGGACTACGCTTAGCTAACAGACTAATTTCCACCACTCATGGACCACACCCACCTTTTCTTTTGAAAAACTCTCTCTCTTGTCTTTCTCTCCTTTCTTTTCTTTTTGAAAGCCTGACTTTGTTAGTCGTTGAGACATCGTACACACGTAAGTACTAGCATCCCTCCTCACATGCTCTCACTCTCTGCTAGAAAGAGCACTGCGGTGCCGCACAGCGTTTGGAGGCAGGACCAAACCATTACATATAAATAGGGGGGTTTCGAGGCTTTGGATAATTAACTTTTGGAAGAAAATAAGTTAAATGAATCGTAAGTTTAGTGAGTACATCATCAATATGACGTTATATTAATGTTAATTGTTGATGATTGATGAAAGGTTACTTAAACATGTTTTCTTAATGTTCTAAAAATGTTTTGGGGCCCCTGTCAGTCACGGGCCCTTAGAATCCCTAACTTTTCACCCCCTTACGGCGCCCTGTGTGTGTGTGTGTGTGTGTGTGTGTGTGTGTGTGTGTGTGTGTGTGTGTGTGTGTGGTGTGTGTGTGTGTGTGTGTGTGTGTGTTTGTGTTTGTGAGTGCCAGGTGGGATTCACATGGGGGGGGATTGGGGACATAAGTTGGGGGGACACATCTAGAGTATGTGTGTGTGTATTTGTGTGTGTGTTTTAGCTGATCCGGATGGTTACTAATTCCTTTTCTTTATGGCGGTACACCATGGTTGTTACAAAGTTGACTAAATCATCCAAAATTCAATGAAAGTGGTGATCAGCAATTCTATATGTTCAAATGTCTACTGTGAAGGATATCATAACGCCTTAATGTAATCGAATGTAAAACAAAAAAGTTATGATTGATGAAAGTAGTAAATCGGTCAGATTTGACCCGAAGACAACAGGAGGGTTAATACTTTTTTCATATAGTGTATGTGGCATGACAAGCTCTTTGCCCAGCTCCTTGATGAAACGCCGCCGTACATTGGTCACACCACCCATGTAATCAGGGTGTTGTGCAGTAAAGATGGAGTAGGCAATGAGGGTGGCAACATCAAGCACATTGTGCCAGAGCACCATGGGCCTCCTCCATGTTCTCCACTTGCATGTGAACTCCGGCACCAACCGTTCAGGGAACCATCCGATCCATTGTGTCCACTCCTGATTTGTTATGTTATATTACTGAATCACTTCTGGTTTCTTCTTTACACTGTTGTCATCCACTGCTCTGTCCTCATGCATGGTGCTCAGGAGGACAACAGCTTTCCCCTTTTTCGGCACATAGCTCACCATGGTCATGTTGCCAATGAATCCAGATTCTGAGCTATGCTTCTCCCTCAATTTGGATAGCTTCATGACAGGCGGTATGTCCGGCTTCTTCTGGCGAAGAGTCCCCACAATGGTCAGGTTCTTCTCAAGGAGCTTTTCAGCCAGAGGGATACTGGTGAAGAAGTTGTCCATTGTGATGTTGCGATATATAATAATATTGTAAACTAGCAGCATTTGGCCAGATCCTTCCGTGTAATTTGACATAGACATGAAGTCTCTTCCTCACTAGTAATGGATGACAAGGTCAGGTAATGTTCAAATATGATATACTGTTATCTTTCACAAGTTATCAAATATCTTCTTAGGTAGAAGAAGTGTAAAATAACACTTACATGAATAAGAAGTGCAAAAGCAGCATGTTGAGTTGTGACAAGTTTGGCATGTGAAATGTGGTCAACGGGTTTAAAACATGTTCCTAACGGCAATCGTTTACAAATAAAGCTTCCTATCAGATTCCTTAGTGACTATATATGCTAGGTCCAAATCAGTAAAATAATATTTATAACTAAATAATTATTATTATAGACTACTAAAATTTATTATAGTATA